CGGGAGAGGCCACAACAGTGAGAGGCCCGCGTACCGCAAAAAAAAAAAGTAGAAGAAAAAAGTAGGGCTACTATCAAAATTATTTCATTCTATCTGGGAGGATTTCAATACAGCTTTTTTTTTTTTTTTTTTTAAGGAATGGAATAAAGCCAGCCCTCCATATCCTGGGGTTCCGCATCGTCAGATTCAACCAAATGCAGATTCAAAATATTTGCAAAAAGAATTCCAGAAAGTTCCAAAAAGCAAAATTTGAATTTGCTGCATTCAGGCAACTATTTTCATAACATTTATATTGTATTTACAACTATTTACACAGTATTTACCTTGTATTAGGTATGATAAGTAATCTAGAAATGATTTAAAGTATACAGGAGGATGTGCATAGGTTACATGCAAATACTACGTCATTTTAATATAAGGGATTTGAGCATCTGTGGATTTTGGTATCCACGGGGGACCTGGAACCAACTCCCCTTGGCTACCAAGTTTTAATTAGGCATGAACCAGATGTATACAGGTACAGTATTGTATTTTTTCTTTTTTTTTTAATCTCATATAAGCATTTTCCATGTTACTATTATAGCACATACTCTTCACAAGCACTGTTACCAACGGCCCCTAAATAGTCCATGAAATGCATCTATCATCATTTACCTAACCACTCCTCTTTTATTTCATGTTTTCCTATTATCTTCACTGAGTTAAATGTTATGAACATCTTTAGGTCGCTAATACTTATTTCAAACTGCTCTCCTAAAAGCATGCACCAGTGACTGTACTCTTGGAGTTTTTTTTCTGAATAGTCTGCTCTGTGCTCCAAATGAAAACTTAACATGCCAGAAGCTCTCTGCTTATTCAGCTCTACAGCCCTTCAATCCTGCTCCAGAAACTTCAGGAAGGAAACAGTTAAATATCTGCTCTACGTCAGGCTCCGTACTACATCTCACTTAATCCTTAGAAGCCGAGGCTCAAGACTTCTGCAAACATGTGAAGTTGCATTCGTTCACCCAACAAGTGCTGAGTGCCTTCGAAGTGTCAGGCATTGGTCACACAGTAGTAAACAAAACAGAACTCCCTGAGGAGTGCTTAGCCTCCTCAAAGACGCTCCCAACCATTAAAAAAAAAAAAGGGGGGGGCCCCTCCATTTCCGGACTTCAATAATAAAACCCTCTAATGGCTTTTGTTATGCTTTATATAAAATCCAAATTCCTTTCCACTGCCCACCGGCAGGCTTTGTCTAGCTCTCCAACAGCAGCCTCTGTCACACTACCCTCACCCACTAGGCCTCAGCCACCACTTCACATCCTGAACCCTTTCCACCTGAGGATTTCCTCACGTGCTGCTCCCTCTGAACTTTCCCCTCTGCTCATCAAAATGACTAGCCTCTTACCTGTTAGGTCGTAGCTTAAACGTTAGCTCCTCAGGGCCTTCCTAGGGCACTCCATCTAAAGTAGGTTTTCCAATATTATTCTCTCTCTCTCCCACCTCAGTTCATTCCTTTCACAGTACTTATCATATAGCCTTGGTTTGTTTGCCATCAAATCTCCAAGGGCAATCACAGTACCAGTAGACAGAGCACATGGCAGATAAACTGCATGCTAAATGAACTCACCGGGAATAAGATCTAACTTCCTTGAAACTTCTACCAATCGATCCCAATTGTACCCTCTGTAACTATGAAAAAAGAAGTATGCATGTGTACCCTTCTTTAATAAAATAAATTTTAAATAAATTTTAATACAATTTTTCTTTTGTTAACTCTGACACTCACCAGTTTTTAGCAACTGCTACTGTTGCTGACTTCAGCGATAGTCTCAAGGAGCAGTAAATGGAATCCCACGTTACACTGCTTGGAATCTGAGCTCCAACACTTACACACACGAAATGTATCTCACTTGTGTGACTTTGGACAAATTATCGAACATACTATTCCTCAGTTCCCTCATTTAGAAAACTAGGATAAGACTCCAATTGTTTGTCAGGCTTAAATGAGATGATGTATGTAAAGAGCTTACCCTAGTTCCCGGCAGAGCAATGTGGATTGTCACAAGTACTACTGCCATCTCACCAGCTGGACAGGAAAACGTCTTCAAAGGGGTAACATATTTCTTTGCATCTCTAAAACCTAGCTTCTAAAATATCAACAAATCTAGATTTAAAACCATCATTCCACCAGTCTGGGTAAGGTCCCCCTTCCACATCTTTCCATACACTCTGAAACTAACCCTCATCGTCATTTATGATAACAATCACTTCACCCTTCTGCCTCCACCACCTGACCCGTGGCGGCCAGGTCTATCTTGTTCACCATGTTATCTCCAACACCTGCAAAAACTTTTGATAATTAAACGAAGAAAGTCCTCTAGGCCTCCATTTCTCAGGAAAAGCTTTTGAAAAGCTTCTTGTCTATTTTCTGCCTCTGCCCGCTCTCCTACAATGAAAACATAGGCAGCCAATCTGTCTTGTTCACTACTGTATCTAGTATCCCCTACTGAGCCTGTCTTAAGAAAGATTTCAAAGTATTTATTAAAGGATTGGGGGGGTTGATGTTAAGACACGTTGATTCGCGTTGTTTTCTAAGAAATTAAACACCACTAACGTACTCAACGCGCGGCTATTTGTGCTCATCAGTATATACCATACCCAAAGCCTAGAAAAATGCTCGGAAGCAAACTAAGCAGATTATATATAAGATGAATGAATGGATACGTCATTTTCCGAGACTGAAAAAAGATACAGCAAAATGAAACCACAGTCTTGACCAGGAGGTCTGTGAGCGACTCAAGAGTTTTGTTACATATATTTCATTCATTGCCAAGTTCTCCAGAGTATGGTTACAGTCTACAATTGAAACTTTTCTTTTTCCGTTAGGTAAACCGCGGTGCGTAAGACTATGAGTCAAGTGCCACCCCTAACCCACCCCCGTCTCTTTCTGTCATACAGGTAGGAAACTCAGAACCCTGACACGAGGCCCGGCGCAGCCAAGGAGCCCCATGCTTCCTCCCAGACCGGGTGACCGGAGACCCGGGAAAGATTCAGCGCGCAAAACCGGAAGGAGGTGCTAGGACAGGGAAGCCTCCGGCACCCCTAGCGCCCCCACTCTACCGCCCGGTACTCACCACCAGCGAGGCTGTGAACCCAGGCCGGTCCATGGCCACACAGACTCAGTCAAGGTTATAATCCAAAGCTGAGCCGACTCAGTCGTGAGCCCCGGCACTGGGCGCCGCCATCTGGGGGGCGGGGCATGTAACGCCGGCACTACCGTGGCCACGCGAGGTTGAACCACAACAAGTACACAATTACACGTGCAACCGGGGAAGCTGGGCCAGAAGGAGGGCCAGGAAGAAGGGCCAGGAAGGAGGGGCGGAGCCTGGAAAGTGTGGTCGAGTCAAGTCTCGCGACTCTTCTCTGCCTCCGTTTCCTACAGCTTCTGAGTGGGCCAGGTGGAGGAACTCTCGCGAGCAAACGAGCCTCGACTGGGAACCAGGCGTAGCGAGCCCGATGATGAGGAAAGGGTGAGGCCCTACCGTAAACCCAAAAGAGGCGTGGCTATAGTGGAAGGCGGGGCCGTAGAGAGGCAGGACTAGCTTCAGCGGGCGAGACCTGTGGCTTCCAATGAGTTGTTTGCATTTATCTGTTCGTTTCACCTGTAGAAATTTCGTCTCCTTTTTCCATAAAAGACTCATTATCAGAAAATTATTAAATATAGAAAAACATTTCAAAAATTTCCTTACTCGAGCTAAAAATTAATGTCCTCTACTTCTTACCAGCAGTTTTTGCACTTAATATAATTCATTTATTCGGTTATTTACTTGCTCATCTTGTCAGCTGTAGTATCAGTTGCACACTTCAAAGACGACTTTAAGTACTTAAAGTTTCTTACAGTGGACTTGCCTTTACATTTTTCAAACAAATACCTTCTAGGTTTCCTCCTATTAAGAGCCAACTGCATCTCAGATGTGGTGCTCTAATACAGCCACTTTGTAAGGTAAGCACCGTTAGCATCCTCATTTTACAGTGAATCCTGATGCTCCAAGAGGTTCACTAACCAACCCAAAGCTACAGAGAACATAGCAGACCCAGGCTTGAAATTTTACTTAATTACCTGATCATATTTCTTCAAAACCTTTGCAACAGCCTTAGGTTCTTTGCCTTTCTTCAGCGTCTTTCATACCACTTCTATAGTCAATATTCTCTTCTAGTTGAGATGTTCTAGAAATGATTAGCAGAATGCCTTCAGGGTTTCAAATTCTGAACCCCCAGAAATCTGGGAGTGGCTTACCTGAGTGGTTCTGTTACCGGCCAGGGTTCTTGGACTCCTTAATCAATAGAAATTAAAAAAAACACCAGACGAGAAATTCAGGCGAGGCTTTATTGGACTCGTACTGTAGCAGGACGGCGCGAAAACAAGTAACAGGTGGCCCTGCTTGCTCCCTGAGGGGAGGGCAAGCTGGTCCTTTACATGGGGCGAGGGTAGGTCCGGGGGTCAGGCTGCAGGGGTGGCTTGGGTGGGGTGCCCATCCTCTTGGTAATGCTGTGTGCAAGGATCATGTGCGCTACCATGCTTTTGCTCCCGACTCCTCAGATGTGGAAGTTAGGTTTGGGGGCTTTTTGTATCTTGTTCATAATTTGCCCCAAATGCGCATGCACGCAGTTATTTTTAGCCCCTTGGAGTTTCTTTGTATTTGTTGCTTGACGAGACGTTTGTCCAGGTGCAAGCATTGCTGCAAAGGGTCCCAGGTCCCAGGTCCCAGCCTGTAACCTAGCAGGACACTACAAGGCCTTCCCGGAATAGACCCCACCCATGTCCTCCGCCTGCCTTTTGTCTGTAGAAAAACTTTAGTCAAAGAATAAATTTAATCAGAGAAGTGAGAAAATGCAGAAAGAAAGGAACACAGTCAAGCAAGACAAAATAATAATAATAGTTTGGCCATTAAACAAAGTCAAGGACCTTTAGTTCTTCCCCAAGGTCTGTAGATAATATTCGGAGCCATGTCCTTTGAGCTGTTCTGCAGATACTGAAACCGCCACCAGGTGGAAGAAGTTAACCGTATGCTTCCGCCTGCCTTTGTCTGTAGAAAAACTTTAGTCAAAGAATAAATTTAATCAGAGAAGTGAGAAAATGCAGAAAGAAAGGAACACAGTCAAGCAAGACAAAATAATAATAATAGTTTGGCCATTAAACAAAGTCAAGGACCTTTAGTTCTTCCCCAAGGTCTGTAGATAATATTCGGAGCCATGTCCTTTGAGCTGTTCTGCAGATACTGAAACCGCCACCAGGTGGAAGAAGTTAACCGTATGCTGCCCACAAGCACGTAGACCCCAGACCAGCTGGAACCAGAAGGTTGATGATGCTGACTCCCAATTTCCTCACCACCAACCAATCAGAAGAATGTCCACGAGCTGATCACGCCCTGCTCCCTGAACACTGTTAAAGACTCCTCACTACCCCCGTCCAGGGTGGGACATACAGTCTTAGGGGCATTAGCCTGTTGTGGTCCCCTTTGCCTGGCAAAGCAATAACGCGATTTCTTTCTACTTCGCCCAAAACTCTGTCTCCCAGATTTAATTTGGCACCGGTGTACAGAGGCTAATTTCGGCAACAAGCCTGTCTCAGTTCAGGCTCTGGGTCTCTCTGATGAGGTTGCAGTCAAGACATCGGCTAGGGCTGTATCTGAAGAGTTGTTGGGACTGGAGGATCCACCTCCAAAATGGCCTATTTCCATACCTCCCAAATTAGTGCTGGCTGTTGGCAGTTGGCCTCAGTTCCTCACCCCATAGACTTCTCCAGAGGATTGCTTGAGTGTCCTCAGCTGGTTTTCCCCAGAGTGAGTGATCTAAGAGAGCAAGACAGAAATGTTATGTTCTCTTCTATCGTTCAGAGGTAAAAGCTTCATCAGGTATTACATGATGCCACTGGAAACCCTTTAGGAAATACAGATGTACAAGCATGACCTGGGGCCTTCCTTTCATGAAATGCTTACAGAAAGATCCATTACCACTTGTGCATGCCTTATAAATGGAACATTACAATGCACTGTCATTGTCACCACATTGCAGGCAGAGTATATCCTCAGATCTTCTAGTTAAAAAATCTACCAAATGAGATAAGTACTGGTTTGCACTAAACATTTGAAATTATACTAATAATATTGTCTTCCTCAATTAAACCTACCACTGTAAGCCAAGTTCACTTAAGTTCCGAAATATTCGTAATATTTACAAAATTTATCAGGAGGTCAAAAACAATACATCAAAAAAACACAAATTAGGTCCAGCTTAGGGGAAATAAAGGACATAATCTTTAGCCAGAACTAGACCCAAGCTCCAAGTTCCTGTTACTGATCTTTATTGAAAAATAAAGTAATAAAATGATTTGCAATAAAAATATTCATGTGTCTTAACCCATATGCATATTTTAACCCATATGCAAAAATATATAAAATGGAAAGGAACCCTTTAAGTAATAAAATCAAGGTTACACTTTCCATGTGGATTTGTGTTTCCATTTTGAATCAGTGAGGAAAACAAAAAAAGACTGTCCTTTCAATAAATGGCTTTGGGACAGTTAGATAACTATTTAGAAGAAAATTATGTTTCATCTCTGTCTCACACTTTACCTCCAAAAACAGTTCCAAATGGATTAAAATTCTCACTTGATAAAATTTATTAGAATACTAGAAGGAAAAGGTAAATATTTTAATATTCTTGAGGTAAAGAAACAGATTTATGCATGAGATTTTTTTTAACTAGGAAAAATATTTGCAGCACATATGACAAGAAAGAATTCTTAATTCTAAATAGTTCCTATAAATCAATAAGAAAAACACCAATACCAATAGAAAAAAATGGGGAAAGTCACAAAGTCACTAAGTTTGTACCATCTCAGAGTTTCTGTGGGTCTGAAATCTGGGCCTAGCTAGGCCTGGCTGGCTCATAATCTCTCATGAGACTGCAGTTACGCTGTCAGCCAGCACTACAGTCCCATCTGATGGCTCAAATGGAAATCCACTTCCAAGCTCACTCACGTGATTGTTGGCAGGATTCAGCTCCGCACAGGTTGCTGGAGTGAGGGGCTCAATTCCTCAGTATCTGTTGACTGGAGTCCTCCCTCAGTTCCTTGCCTCGAGGGCCTCTCCGTGTGAGTTTGCAACACAGCCCCTGGCTTCCATCAGAGCAAGAGAGAGCACCCAAGATAGAAGCCACAATCTTTTGTAACCTAATCACACTCAAGGGGAGCGGATTATACAAGGGCATGAATGTAAGGCAGCAGCAATCAATGGGGACAATCTTAGAGGCAATATATATAATTTACAAATGCACAGAAAAAAATCTATATGGTGACGGGTTATTTTTGGGGACATTAAAAATGATGTCTGTTTTCTTCTTGCGTTACTGGCCATTTCTAATGAATAAACAGTACTGCTGCAGCTATTACCATCAGATATTGTTGCTGACCTACCTCCAGCTGACAGCCACTCACATGATATTGCTTAATTTCTTTGCCTTTTCCATGAGCAAGTTGATATCAACCTGCCTAGATTTTACAAAGCGTGAATCAGTTATCTCCGATAATTGGGTTTTGTTCAATATTTGACCCAAGATGAAGCTCTGGCTAGGTTTCCAAAACATATATAAAAATAATCGGATGAAATTTGCTCAGCTAATTTTTACATTCTCTGACAAAGATCTCCACTCTTTTGGACGTGGAAATTATCCTAAATCCTTGTGCCTTGTGCATTTACTACCCATCAGTTTGGCAGCAAGCCTGTCACACTGATATATAACACCAAACTGCCCTTGCTGTAATTGCTCCCCTCTGTTGAAGTGGCAACTGATAATTATAGGTCGCCCCTGTGACACTTACCTGACACAGATGACGACAGCAAATGATTTTTCTCAGTCACTGAATATATTGTTATACTCAAGGGCAAATCGAGCTATTTTTCTCTCTGCAGTAGAGGAAATAATGGGAAAACAGAAATGGGGTTCATGATCTTCCCATTACAGGAATTTAAAACAAAACTGTCCACCATTAAAAAAAAAAAAAAAAAACTGTCCACCATTAAACCACAATCTTCTTCTGGCTAATCACAAATAAGAACCTTTATTATTCTTCAAATTAATTCCATCAGCAAGTGCTAACCAGTTA